TTGGGTTTAATACGTCGTAATTTATTTTGGATATGAAAAATTCCATTGGGGAGGGGGGTATATGGCRACGAGGTATGCTTGGGGTTGACCCGTTGACCATGCCCACCCTAAGGTTGACCCATTTGACTTTTGGGTTGACTTTTTTGGGGAAAAGTCAATACTCTAATATTGAAATACAATTACATGTTATAGGATATTACTCAGGGACGAGGTTTAGCTAAGCGGAGCTATTAAGGTGAGTCTTCATGAGACTTTAACTGGGATGCATGCTTATGTACAAATTATTTGAGCATTACGATATTTTTTTATGTACATGTTTATGTTTTTTTTTACATGTATATGAATTATTATTGTGGGTTGCATGCTATTTGTTTACGTGTTTTTAAACATTAATTAGCATGTTATAAACGGGTTAATATTTTTGTCGGGAATGGGAAGGGTCAAAAGTCGTAGGGATGGCACATCCTAGGGATGGGTGACCGGACAAGGGATAGCCGTGTAACCCGGGGAAGTGCCGATGACGGTAAGACCTTAACCCGATGGGAAATTAAGAGATCTCATTATTATTTCAAAAGGGTTTGAAACAAATGTGCATATTATTTTATTCGGGGCATTGTTCGTTTTATGCATGATGAGGTGTGTATGATTGTGCACAAAAACCATGAACTCACTGAGCTTTATAAAGCTGACTATTAGTATGCATCTCAGGTGCAAGAGGTTCAAGGGTGAACAAGAGTGAGGTTCTCTCCTAGATAATTATATTATTATATTTCGGATGTTTAGGTTTATGCTTAAACTCATTTTGTAATGCAACCCGGTATGGGACGGGTTAGCGTTGAGTTATTAACTTTAATTGAATTTGTAAGACTTCCGCTGTAATAAGGTTTTATTAGCCACTATATATTGGGGTTATTTATTGTTATTTAATGAGAATGACGTGACACAACTCATGGTGAAAATTAGGGTGTTACATGAATATTATGGCCGACATACCGATTTAGGTCAAAGTCCCGGATCCTTTTATGAATTTTGTAAAAGTAATGGGATAATCAATCAATACACCATGTCTGGTACTCCGCAACAAAATGGTGTTGCTGAAAGGAGAAACCGTACATTAATGGACATGGTGCGAAGTATGCTGGCAAATACAAGTCTCTTAGATTTTTTATGGACCAAGGCACTAAAGACAGCCGTCCACATACTCAATCGAGTCCCTTCCAAATCTGTTCCTAAAACACCATATGAAATATGGACAGGAAGGAAACCGAGTTTAAGATATATAAGAGTGTGGGGTTGTCCGGCTGAGGCAAAATTATATAATCCTCAATCGCGAAAATTGGACTTAAAAACTATTAGTTGTTATTTCATAGGATATCCCGAACATTCAAAAGGATATCGTTTCTATTGCCCTTCACATACCACTAGAATTGTCGAGACGCGACATGCCGAGTTTCTTGAGAACTCAAACATCAGTGGGAGCGGTATTAGAAGATCTATATATTTTCAAGAGGAATGTGAAGAGGCGCCTATTTTACATGTGCCCGTACCTATTCACATGCCACTTGATACCTCGAATGAAAATATTGAATCTCAAAACGAGACAACTAATACTCCCGAGGTTGATCAAGCACCGAACAATGAAGCTTCTAATGATGAACCTCGAGAACTTCAACCGGCATTACGGAGGTCACAACGTTCTAGACGACCCACTAATTATGATGATTTTGTCACATACCTACACGAAGCTGATTTTGACTTAGGGAAGAACGACGATCCGACCACTTTCCATGATGCCATCACATGCAACCAATCAACTCAATGACATGAAGCCATGGAAGAGGAGTTAAGATCCATGAAAACAAATAATGTTTGGACGCTTACTGAATTACTTAAATGTGCTAAAGCAATAGGTTGTAAGTGGGTCTATAAAACAAAGTTAGACCCAAATGGAAACATTGAACGTTATAAGGCTCGTTTGGTCGCAAAAGGCTATAATCAAAAGGAAGGTGTGGATTATAATGAAACTTTCTCACCCGTATCGAGAAAAGAATCTTTTAGGATCGTAATGGCTTTGGTGGCTCATTTGGATTTGGAGCTTCACCAAATGGATGTCAAAACTGCATTTCTTAATGGTGACTTACATGAAAGTGTGTTCATGTCACAACCTGAAGGTTTCAAAGCCAAAGGGAAAGAACATTTGGTATGTAAATTGAATAAATCAATTTATGGGTTAAAACAAGCGTCACGTTAATGGTACCTTAAATTTGATGAAGTGATGAAAACTAATAATTTCACAATGAACCAAGTAGATCAATGCATATACCTTAAGATGAGTGGGAGCAAATTCATCATATTACTACTTTATGTTGATGACATCCTACAGGCAGGAAATAATATGGACATGTTGCATGATACTAAACGTTTTCTATCTGCGAGCTTCGAAATGAAGGATTTCGGTGAAGCCTCTTATGTGATAGGAATAGAAATTCACCGAGACCGTGATCATGGAATATTGGGTCTGTCCCAAAAGGCCTACATTGAGAGGATATTAAATTGTTTCAATATGCAACATTGCTCACCCTCAGTGGCTCCCGTCGTCAAAGGTGATAATTTTGGGGCTTATCAATATCCTAGAAACGAGGAAGAACTTGCCCAAATGAGACTAATTCCATATGCTTCTGTAGTTGGAAGCATTATGTATGCTCAAGTTTGTACCCGACCAGACATTGCTTATGTGGCTGGTATGCTGGGGAGATATCAATCAAATCCTGGCTTGGACCATGTTATACCCTATCTCAAATTACTAACAGAAAACGTACCTTCAGCTGTCGAATTGTAAACGTAAGCAATGGAAACAGGAAAATGATTGACAGTCGGCAATTGATGACGAACAAGGTTGAAATTGTCGGCCAATCTATTATGAAATTGGAAATCGATTACAACTCCCAGACTTTCGAGAGGTCTGGGATTCTCTCCTCAAAGCTCTCGCTTTGCGCTCTACAACTGAATTTCTTCAAAACAGAATACCAGACACTAACTGACAGCTAGCTATTTAAACTCGACGAAAATACCAAACTACCCTCAATTACACGATGCCAAACAGTAGCTGAACTGCTAACTAAAAGTTTCTTCTTCTATACGTAAACCTTAACGGAGGTTTACCAATACTCCCCCCAAAAATTTCACCTTGTCCTCAAGGTGACAATGAGGAAATTGTTGAAGAAGTGCCTCGTAATTCTCCCAAGAAGCTTCAAAATCCGACATTCCTTCCCATTTTACCAAAACCTCAACTTGACCCACATCACCATTTGGTAATTGTCGCACATCCAAAATATCTTCCGGAACAGCTTGTAATACCAATTCGT